GTCATGATGGCCCCCGCATCGGTCTGACTAACGAGCACCATCACGGCGCGCGCAAACCCATGAAACAAAAGGGGGCCTGGATTCCTATGAAGCTGGCTCGGCCTGGTTAGCCTATGCCCAGCGCAAGTGGACCCACAACAGGACCGAGGCCTTGTGCACAGCCGCTGGCGTCCACTCCCGTATGGGAAGCGCAGGGTGGCTGTACACCCGAGACGCGTGCATGCTTGCACCGTCTTTGTGGGGTAGTTGCTGTCGTCGAAGGGCTGGATCTTGGCGCGGTGAAAGCTAGGCTGGCAGATCAAGTTGCCGTCCTGCTTGCGCGGGCTGGTGGCCGGGCCATCCGGCGCAGGCAAACCATTGTGGGCGGGCAGCCGGGTCTCCCTCATGATGTCGGCGCGGTGTTGGTGCTGGAGCCGTGAATCACATCCATCTTTGGATTTCATGCGATCGCTGTTTGAGCTTTGTCCTTGCCATGATGTCCACTTTCTCTGCGGTCGTGAGCGGGTTTTGTGTGAGGTTATTTTTCCTCTCCGAAGGAGTTGTTTTTACGCACCCGTTGCACGCCTTTTGGCCAGATTGATGCCCAGCTCAGCGCAGCACTGGTACTGGTCTGTCGCTGTTTTACTTTGGGCCGGCTGTGTTTGTTTCAGTTTGCGCAATCATTTCTCTGGGGCCGGTGTTTCTCCTGCCTTTTCGTTTCTCACCCGCTTCGGCTCAAGTCACGCTAGATTCAACTAAGCCAAGGTACCGTAGGTGGAAACATGCAATTATGTTCAATTGCGGAATCATGAAAAAACGAACACACACACACACACACACCCGAACCTGGCGTTGTTTTCAAAAGCGTGCACCTTTGCAATGTCCGATGGCATTGTCTTTGGCTCAACTAACTGAGCTTGCTGAGCAAAGGTCGCTTGCAAATTGCACGGTGAGTTGTGGAATTTCAGTTCTCGTTACATGGCAAGGTCGACGTGGAAATAACTTTTTGAAGGTCTCTGTTGCAGCGGAACATGAAGTTAAAAACCGAGTTGAAGAACTCGCGAGATGCCATCCGCACACTGCACATTGCAAGGCTGCATCAAACAATTGAGATGTCCAAAGGGTGAAACGAACAATGTACACTAGCACTTGTATCTTGTATCTACTACTGCACTTTGTGATCCCTTTGTTCTGTGTGGAAGTCTGGTCTTTTTCAGGACTGCTGGTCTTACAATTGGTTTGTCATTCGGGTTGGTGGACTCCACGTATCAGTTTCTCATGTTTTCAGTTTTCAGCTGTTTTCTCTGTTCCAGCAGGGTGTTTTTGCTTGTGCCTTCCATTTTGCAAGTCGAGGCTTGCGACCAGCAAGCTTTTTGATGTTTTGCAATGGCTTTCCATATTGCTAACACACGCCAACGCACTTCCTATGTCCCATGTTGCTTAGGTTGGGAGTTTACTGTACCTTTTGATTTGAACGCCAACGCCATCTCCTAGTTTGCTCCGTGACTCTGCCGCTACACCTTTCTTTCGTTCGTTCTTAATTTGGTCTTGCCTTTAGTTGGCTCTTAGCAGTTTCAATTGTTGAACCGGCTGAACCTGGTACATCATTCTTTGAAAGGACATGCGCAGTGGGCGCAGGGGGTCTGCTTTTAGACCCCACTTGGTGAAGGCAAACATCGTGGTGGAAACTACGCAACCTTCAATCCGTTCCCAGCGACCGGCATATCAAGACCTTTTGTTGCACAATGTCTTCAATCCCCGCGGATTTTCCCAAGGGCACAAGGAACTGGGCTAAAAACGATGTTGTAATGTTGCATGCTGCCGGGCCTGCCCCTGAGAATTGCAACACTCTACGCGTGTCCCTTGGACAGTAGGTGAAACGTCACAGGTGTATGGTTGGAAAGCAACGTGAAGTAGCGTAGAAACAAAGATGCGATCAGCAATGACGGTTGTGCCAGGCGTGTTTTCCAGCTCTGTGTCGTTGTGCCCTGGTGAGCCGTTCTAATGAGTCCTTGAAATCGCCGTTCGACTCCGCCCATGTATAACAGGCAAACAACTGTTGGAGAAGAATGAGCATCGGCGCATCGGGGTCGTGTCCAAGGGTTTCGGTCAGAAACACATCAGCACGCGTGAATGGGATCTGTGGGAGCCACCCAAATAAAGCTGGCCATAACAAAGGACAGTTGTTGCGCATGTTCGGCCAACAACGGTGGGAAGACAAATGGAGGCCGATGGCAACAATGAAGGCGAGCCTCGCCAGAGGTGGCAAAGGGTAGCGATGGGAGGGCGCAACGCTCGTGGCGGGAAGGGACAACAAGGGGCCCCGGAAGCAATCCATCTGGCAAGTAGGGTGGAATGAGTGGACGCAAGAATCAATGCGAGGTGAAGCGGGTCTAATCAGCTGAGACGGCTTGTGCTTCTTCGACCCAGAAGGATCAGAGCCTTTCGCGCGCGTTGCCCTCGGTTTGAGTTACATGACGGACTGCTCAACCTTATTCATGCTGAATAACACTAGGAAGTTCGATTGAAATGTCAACAGTTGCAAGCATCAGAAGCAACGTGGGTGGAATCTGTGCCCAAGTATTCTGGCACATCCTGACCTAAAGCCTCAGTGCCACACTAAATACATATAGACTAGAACGAATTGTATAGCCATAAATCGATATTTGTAGATAACTACGTATTTTATAGAGGTGTATCGAGCTAGCAACTATGAAAGAGCAAAAGGTGCAAAAAGTAAGTTTCCCCAAAAATCTATATAGGAACCAAATGAATAGCGTGAGCTATCCTGCGTCCATATCTAGGGGCAAACAAGTTTGTCTACTTAATTAAGTAGGCGCCTACTTATTCAAGTAGGAGCGGGCACAAAAGACGCCTCTGGATACTCAAGCCGATGCTCAATCCGGTGCAAGGTCGGACACTGGCAGGTCGCCGAGGCCAGTCAGGTGAACAGAGGACCTGACGGCCTAGAAACTGACTGGGCAGCGGTGGGCGTAGCAAAGAGCGTAGAGAGCCAAGAGTCCTCCTCTGTTACCAGTAGCTTCTTGCTACTAGTAGTAATGCCAGGAGCTACTAGTAGCTTCTTGCTCCTAGTCGCGATGCCCCTTGTTACTGCTAGCTTCTTATTCTGAACAAAGACTGGGCGCACCAAAAGCACAAAACGCCGTTCTAATGAGTCCTTGAAATCGCCGTTCGACTCCGCCCATGTATAACAGGCAAACAACTGTTGGAGAAGAATGAGCATCGGCGCATCGGGGTCGTGTCCAAGGGTTTCGGTCAGAAACACATCAGCACGCGTGAATGGGATGGCAGCAGGGTGTGGCAAGAGAAGTGCCGCGCCAAATCTTGACGACACTCCTGCTGGGCCGAGAAAGGCTTCGAGCGTGTAGGGACGTAGCGTGCTCCTCCGCTCAAAGGTCCAGCTCCCCGGAGCACGGACATGTCACGCGGAGCAGCAAACACGCAGACATGGCAACAGCGGTCCACATCCAAACGGAAAGAGACGCAGAAGCAATGTCACTTGTGTGCCTGTGCACTCTTTCTTTCCTTGTGTCAATTACAGGTTCAGTCGTCTGAGAAATTTCTGAATGGATAGCTGTATTCCGCAAGTCCGAAAGGCACAACACCGTCCCAAGCATATTGCAATGATCACAGTGGGAGAGTGGATTTTGAGCAAATCTCTCGAGGCGGGCAATGCGGCAGTAGGAGATGTTTGTTCTGTATTCAGACACCTATTTCCGACTCAAGATAAAGACACCCAGCTGTGTCAAGCTTCGCCACAGAATTCTGATCAAAATGCAAGGCCTCCAAGAACGAACGTGTTCCTGTCTTGTTGAGAGATTTCATCAAGCTCACTTTGCATGAGTATACATTCTAGGTAAGAGTTTCTGATTGTACTTCCAGTTCTCTAGCCAGTCTCTGTTGTACGAGTACAAAACTCAGGTCCAGGATGGTTCAGGTTTCCATTTATCTCTGCATGCTGCCCCAAAGTAGGGCTCCTTCCTCGTAGACTTACTTTCCACATCCGATTTGTGGCTCTGGTTTCCACACGAAATGTTCCTCCTCTGATTTCTGGCTTTGGTTCAAAAATCACGAGTGTTCACAGTTGTCCTTGCTGGTCCGCTGTGTTGGACATTGCTACTTCTCCTTTGGCTCATGTCCTTCAACCTGTTTGCATCTGAAAGCACATGAGCGCGGAGGAATGCACGTCGGCAAATGACTGAGGCAAGCGATACTATGCCATAGGATCAGGGGAATGGAATGCAACCATCAAGAACACAACAGGTAAGAGCAAGCAAAGCAGGCTGCGTGCAGCAGCATTCACACTCGATATTTTCCGAGAGATGTTGAGGAGTCAGCTTGGAGGCAAGTCACGACATGAGCAAGAAACCTTTGCAAATGTCTGATGCTTGTAAAACATCGATGAAACTGTGCACTGGAAACAATGATGAAACTTATCTCGCTCAAGCATCGAAAAAGCACATGCGCGAAATGGCTGCTCTTTTTCACCAATTCAATTCAAGCCAGCTTTGCCAAAGGCTAAGCTCATTTAATTTGGCTAGAGCAGTTGCTATTACATGGCTCTGCACAACACCCCGCTTAGGATGGATGAACAAATCAAGATCAATCTAGCAGCTGCGGTGGGCCAAACTGCACCCAAATGCCATGCCTCAAGGCACAGGAACAAGAAGCAATGATCAAATGTGGAGCGAAGAGTCGGATGAAAAGGAAAACAGTCTGCTTCTTGTTATTGATAGTGATGGCCTCCAACCTACTTGCGATGGCCTCCACCTAATAGCGTCCTTGCTAAAACACAGGAAAACACGTTTCAAACTCGACAAGGTTGGGATGTTTCTCGGCCTGGCTGGGTCTGTCAATGCGGACTCAGGAGAGCAGCAAAGCCATGTTATGGCACTCAGAAACAACAAACACCCAATTCTTGTACCCTCACCAGATTTACCCATGCGGTGCAAAACTACGAAACGGCAGCATCTTCCTCTGACCTCTTCATTCAACTTGCACTTGGCTTGTCCACAAAAGTTGGAGCCAAAAGGATAAGCCACACGCCAAGGGATAGAGTCAATGTAGTTCAATGCCTTTTCGAATCTGATAGCTTGAAGCTCGGAGATGCACATCGCAAATGCACAACAGAGAGCAATTCAATTTTGGTAGCTACGACGCCAGTTGCTTTGCACTGGCTGCCAGTCCATGACTGCTTGAGTCAGCTTGTCGCAAGCGAACACGTGCCAGAATGCACGACTTGTAAAACACATAGTCACACAGCAGAGTTTATGAGATGAAACCAATCCCTACCCAGAGTGATCAATGTTCAGTGTCACTCATGCAGAATACGTGGGTTTGCAGCATGAAAATTGGCAACAGTTGAGGCATCGAGGATTCTCAATGCATGCTCTCCTTAGATTTGCGAAGCAAACAAGCTTGCGAACATCCAACATCCAAGTTTGAATGTAGATCCCGATCCTGCTGCTATATCAATTGAGGGGTAGTCAAAATGATCAGCAAGATCAAAAGGATCAGCAATTTTCTGTCTACCCAAATCATGCTTTGCGGACAGGTGGCACTTTGCCTTTTCACAACCTTCAAGCTGGTAATGCTGGTTGTTTGTCTCACAGGGTGAGATCACAGCCTCAGGACGGAATCTTAAGGCGTCTTCCTGCCAATGACTGGACTTTTGGCATTGCGCGATGTTTCCTGCATTTGCTTTGATCATGCTTTACACTGTACAGTTTACAGATTTCTTCCATTCCAGGTGACCCTTTCATAGCCTTTCATCGTCTGTCTCTTCATGAAAAAAGCCTAGTGACTGTGCCAACGAAACCTGGAGCACACTTTGCAGCGACTGAAAAGTCATGGATGCGCGTGCTGGTCTCAGAAACCAAGTAGCCTGGTCGGTGCTAGTTGGCTTCTGCCAGTGAACAGATTGAGGGAAGCTACACACCAGCTACCAGCAGGCTATGTCGTTTCAATTCAATGAAACTCAGCGCCTGTGGTGTCCAACGGCGCTATACATATCTCGACTGGATTACAACCGCTGAGGCTGTAGGCTTCTCCACGACTCGCGCAGGGACTGATCACTGGATTGCCTAGTCGAAGTCAAAGAAACCAAATCAGCTAAACTTTTACGATCTTTTCCGTGTCAAGTTCAATTCAACGAAGCATACTTTCCGCACACCATTGATTTTCAGCCAATCTTTTCTTCCAGGCACCAATGTAACCTTCAATGCACTGTGCATGCACCATCAGCCGGTCCTCATCTGGTGCACAAGAAAATGTGGCACGGGACAACAATTTGCTGGTACCAGAACCAGGAGAGGGCCGACCAAGCAGGGGTGTTGTTATACAGAAGGCTTATATTATAAAAACAGTACGCCTCACTTGCAAAACTCTCACCTGAAACTCACACTGTCATGGATTTACTGCATCTAACGCCGCTAAATCAGGTCTTATTTCCAACACTGTTCGTGTTTGAGATATATTTTTGTCATTTTGCTTGTTCTTGAATTGTGGTCACACTGCCCCGAGGCTCCATTCGAAGATCCACTTCGTCCAGGTTGTAGCCATCTGTGTTCGAAGGAGACACACACTTCCTCCATGCAAAAACTGACCAGCCCCGAGCAATTCTAGGTACCAGTGGTGCAGAACATGGCGCAAACGCGCAAACATAATCACATATATATATAGTATACAGTATTTGCATATTAAAAAAATGAAACAACCGTCGACTGCTCCGGTGGACGCTAGATCGGCCGAGGGGCTCAATCCGTCTGCAACCGGCAAGTATATAATCTCCACCTGCAAAACGGGCATCTACAGAAAAAGAAAGAAGGCAACACAAAAAGGTCAGAAGTTTAAACAAAAAGGGGAAACACGTGTCGTAATTGAACATAGTTTGAACAAAAAACATGTATAACACACACATATATATATCTCAATATATATATATATATTAGTTGTAACATACCACTATTTACATCTATTTATTCTTCTCCGATTCGCATCAATTCGTAGTTCGCGGTTTCTCTATGACCTGTTGCAGAGCATGGGATGGCGGCTGCAGTCCCAGAGTAGCCAGGCTGACATTCAGCACTGACATCGAAAAGGCTTCGTGTGAGCCTCGCAAAGGACACACATCAAACATCTTCAAAGTATGTTTTGACCCATCGTAGTTTGGATCTTTGGTTGGTGGTCGGCTCTAGGAGGAAGAAACAAGCCGTAAACATGTTAGCAATATTGTTAGTAAAGCATGTAAGGCTCAACTTCTCACCTCTTGTACCTCTCAGGTGGAACCTTCCTTGAAGAGCCCTTCTTCAATGGATCAAACAGTTCAAATCTGGTCTTTTGTCGAAATGCTTGCAGCGGGGCGGCAACTTTTCCGCCAATTTGTACCCATCGCTCTTGGGTCGAGAGCAAACAACATTGTCTTTGGTGCATCCACTCAGCACCTGAACTGCAGAAAAACATAGCCAAGGGACACTGTTTTGCAGCCTACCTAATTTCTCAACGTTCAAGCAAAAACCTTTTAGCATGGTTAATTCCAAGTGACATATGCTTCATTCGGCTCGGTGCAAGGAGTAACTGCAGCTGTGCCGACATAACCAGGTTTGCACGTTGCCTTCACGTCAAACCGGAAAGGATGGACATGAAGACTGCTTTCCTTGGCAAAAGCACATGGACGGAGCAAGGACATATCGAAGATTTAAAAAGACAGGCAAAGGAAGGAAACATGATATCGTTTCTAGCCTTTCTTCCCCCAGTTCAGAAAAGGAACTGTGACTTCATAGCCCTCAGCACTTGGGCTGGATTTGCACACAGTTGCAGGCTCACAGCCAGCCAATCTGTACTCCTTGGCACTGGTACCATTCAGTTTATGAAGCAGGGATGGTTTTGAAAGCCAAATATCCCTGAAAATCTAGGAGCCAAATTATTGGTGTGAGGGGCGGCGGGGAGCTTCCTTGAAGAAGCGCGAGCCATCCTGCGTCCATACTAGAAGCTGACATAAGCTACTCGCTTCGCTTTCTAGCGGCCTACCCCCCTGCCCCCGGGCTGGAAAAAGAGTATATACCTGAGAAGGGAGGGGACGAAAGCCAGCCTCTGGCTTAGGGGGTGCTCTCAGGGTAGGCAAAGACTTGGCGTGCAAGAGCACGTGATGGGGTAACATCGGGCAAAGAGTAATGTTATGGGGCGAAGCAGCTGCTCTGGTTCCGGGAGGAGTTGGAGGTGAAAAGGGCACCCCACATCGGGTGCATGATGCCATCTGTTGAGGGCCTGCGAGAGAACCGGACTGAACAGGGCACTCCATATGTGGTGGGGTTGGGGGCAGGAGAGAAAAGAGATTGCAGCGGGCAAGCGTTGGAGACCGAAGGCTCTGAATAGCTTAGGGGTGCCCTTTTTTATCCGTAGCATGGCCAATTTGTTTGCTCGTCCTGGTGAGGAGAGATGGCCAAAATGGCTCATGAGTGTGAATTTGCGCTTTCATTCAGGACCTTCTGTTTGTACAGGATTTGCTGCAGCACGGGTTTTCATAGAACACCTGCTGTGTGCTCGCTGCTGATGGCTATCCTCATGGTGTCTTGCTGGGAAGTTCAAATGTTCTGGAATTGTTTGAAATGACTCTGACTGTCACATGTCACATGATTTTCACAATGTCACATGCATCTGTTCAGGGCCTGCGAGAGAACCGAACTGAAGAGGGCACTCCCCATGTGGTGGGAGTTCACGTGGAATGGCAGCGGGCAAGCCCTGAGTAGCGTCGGGGTGCCCTCTTTTGTCCGTAGCACGGTCGAGTTGCTGGACTGTCAAGCTCACCCATGATGCCATATGTTGAGGGCTTGCGAACCGGACTGAAGAGGGCACTCCCTATGTGGTGGGGTTCGGGGCAGGAGAGAGAAGCGATTGCAAGTGTTGGAGACAGAAGGTTCTGAATAGCGTGTGGGGTGCCCTTTGTTGTCCGTAGCAAGGTCTAGTTGCTGGACTGAAAAGGGCACCCCACATGGGGTGCATGATGCCATTTGTTCAAGGCCTGCGAGAGAACCGAACTGAAGAGGGCACCCCCCATGTGGTGGAAGTTCACGTGAGAGAGAAGAGATGGCAGCGAGCTCACTTCCACCGCGTAGGGAGTGCCGTCTACGCTGAGCTGAGCCACAACTACAATCTGTTCTCTTTCCATGGCCTCCTGAGCCCCTCGTGGTGCTGATGATGCACTCTTCGCCGTTAATTGCATCACCGGCATCACAGCACCCCTCAAACCACTCATTTTTCACTACCAAGTGGCCGGCATCTTTTTGTCGCTCTCCCCCACCAGGCTCTGGGTTCACCTCTCCGAAAAGTAGCCACCACGCAACCACCCCCCCACACCCCCTTTACTCACTTCGTTCGCTCCAACAACCTCAAGCCCAGCCTACCGGCTGGCTTTCGTGACATATAATACATTAAAACACAACCAAAAACATATATAGATATTGTATGATATTGTATGATGTATATAGATTTCGTTCAAAAACGTCACCAAGGCTCTGTCTGATCGGAGCTACAAGGAATCACTTTCGCGCTGCCCACATGCGTTGAAGCGCATCGCCCGGCAACATCAAAACTCTTTGCCTGGAGAACATGTCGAAACAGTCAAGAGACCGTCAAGAAGAACTTGCTAAGAAGAGGTGGCCAAAAACACATAACATAAGGCAGTAACATATATAAGGCTTTTTCTACAAGTTCTATTTTTCAGCCATTCGGATTCTTAAGCTTGGATTGCAGTTGACTCAAAGAGTTGGCGAATGGAGAGCAACAGCAAACAGCTTCCCAGCACAAATCCAGCCCAAGGCAGACTTAAGTTCGATCCAGGAGGCCTTCAAATCATTCTCCTCAAGCCAGCAAACAAATACCGTTCTTAAAACCTCACCAGCAGCACGACTTTGTACCACTGTTCCGTGGATGCAACCCAAGCCACAGTCAAAAGATAGCCAGTGCTATCTGCTGGATCTTTGCAAGTGTCACCATCCTTGTAACATCCAGACAGAAGGTACGGCCTTATACGTCATGCCACACATGGTCAAACATGTGCATCTCTGCATGTAGTATTGCAAGCACACAATTTAGTCTCTGTTCACACCTGTCTGACCGCAATATCCTGAAATGCCTGCAGCTATATACTTTCTTATACTTTTAATCTCAGTTCTGGTGTCATTGAGTTTTTTCTCTCAGTTCGAGGCTTCAAATGTTCTTCGCATGCTGTGGCTGTTGGCTTTCCCGAAAAACCGGATGCGCATCTGACTGAAACCTGCAGGATCTAAGCAGCAGATTCCATTTGTTGCATTCCGCTCTGCTTGTCCTCACATTTGTGGTACAAGAAAAAGTGCGCACCTCCAAGGCATGTGATGTCAATGCCTGTTCGTCGACGATATAACCGTGCGCATCTTTGGGGCTAACGCATGTAGAGATGGGCGTGCAACCACTCCTTAACTTAAGCGGCGCCACTCAAGGCAGTGTCAGTTGGAACTTTGCAAGCGCAAACAAGCACGACACAAAGAGCAAGAAGCCACACAGTGCCAAGTCACAACCTGTATTCCTGCATGTTGTCTGTGCAAGGTGCCACACTTGCTTCCCCAATGAAGCCATCTGCACACTTGGCCGTCACGCTGAACCTGAGGGCCGCTGTGAGTTCTCCAGTGTAGACACATAACAGAAAGAACAAGTTTTCCAAAGGCAAAGTGCTTCTTTGGCACTTCCAACATAGATACATATCTGCCCCTCTCAAAACCTGTGACATCCCGAGTCATATTTTGGCAGGGTCCATAAAATGTTTTCTCTCGGTGCACCTATGCGTTTCTAGTTTCACTAAGCCTAAGCGGCTGATGCAGCTGGACGTCCACCTCTGTGATTTTGTAACCCTGCAAGTGCAAAGTTGACAGGGTCATCCTCAATTAGCCTATCTTCTACGCAGTGTCACTGGCAATGCGGGAATGCATCTGGGTGTGCATTAAAATAGGGAGACCTCCCAAAGACGCCCATCTATTTTGTCAATCTTACACCGGCAGGGAGATGCGGGCCTCAGAGTCTGTTGGTCCTTTGCAGGCTTTGGCAAGCGTGCATCCACTTAGTGCCTCAGGTCAGGACGCAATTGATGCAGATCAGGCAATCAACCTCGTAGCGGTGGCCTCCAACCTATTTTTGCATTTGTTCTAGAAATCAAGCTGTCTTGAGTTCTAGACGTATGGCTGGTGTTCTTTTGTGCAAACTGTCACAGAAGGCTTGCCGAAGTAGCCCGCGGCGCACTTTGCCTCCACCTGGAACCTGAACCAAAAAAACTACTTTTGGTACAAGGTATCCAGATCGTCAACAAACTTGGCATGCAGTACTTTCACAGAATGATTGTTTGTTTGATTCTTCCAATTGTCTGTCAACAAATCGTTTTAGCGTTTAGCCGCTTTAGCCAAGACGCCCTTGAATGGTTTTGCTCATCTCCTGCAGCCGTGTCTGGCTCTGAACAGTTGAAGCATGTACAATCTCCTAGCCAAGGTGCAGTGATTGCATAGCCTCTTTGATCCACTGGACTGGAGCAATATGAAATCCTAAGACGAAGTGCTGAAAAAGGATATTCAAGAGACAAAGCAGGCACAGTCTCACGGGTGTTTTGAATCGCAATGATTGCTTTAATTTCATCAATTTCATCATATAAAAAGCGCACAAAATAACAAGTTGCATACATGTTCTTCAACATCTCTCTACCACGCCAAGTTGCTTGCTACAGCCTGCAACTTTGAAGGCCTCACCGTGCGCCGTGCATGGCTCCACAAAGGCTTTTCCACTGAAGCCATCCGCGCAGCTGGCCGCCACTTGAAAGTTGAAGAATTGAAGCGATCTTGCTTGCAAAATGTACCTCATGGAAATTCATGAGCATTCACTATCTTCTCATTGTCTGTGCTCTTGAAATCTGCTAGTCTCGATGCAAGTCCAAGCAACCCGGTGGTGTCTTCAGGAACCCCGCACGTCCTTCTATCCGGTTCCTTGGGAGTGTCAAATCCCAAAAGACTGGCACAGCACATCCAATCACGTTCTATCGACTGTAATCGACACAAAATGCTCTGAATGCCTTGCTGCGGCTTCGATGCGCATCCTCTGAGCGCGTAGGGTGCTCCTTCCCCACATGCCTCCACTGCAGCTTCGCCAAGATAGCCAGGTGCGCATGTGGCTGTCCTGCAACATTTGTGCAATGCGAGCTTCATTGTCACTTAGTCTGAGCAAGTTTATGCACTGATGGCCCGGTCACGCTGAAGGATCGTCTCTCCAAAGAGCTTTCGGTGACCTGTCAGGAATGTTGATTTTGGGAGTGGTTGCTATGCCAGCTGCATGATTAAAGTAGTCTGCAGGAATGTCATTTCCAGCCTGATAGCCCTCTGTGATCTTTGGTGTTAAGCAAAGAACGGTCTTTTCACAGCCGCTCAACGTGTAGGGCCTCAGATACTCTTGATCTGTGCCGCTAGCCAAAGCTAGCCATGAAACCTCCTGGGCAAGTTCTCTCAAGCTTCCAAGATACCCATTGTCCACCAGGCAAGGGTCAACCTTTGCTGTGCCAGAGTAGCCTTGGAGCTGTTTGAAGCAAAGGTGAAAAGTAAACATGGGAAAGGTATATCTTCACATGTCTTAAGAGCTCAGCGCACCCGCAGCACGCAAATCTAGCGCTTGTAATGATTTGACGTTGTCAAACATTGACAACTAATATCAACTAGCGTCAACAAGTAGAAGTAGGAACGAAGCAGCTGGAGGCTTGCAGCTTGCTCAAAACGTGTCAAACATCCAGAGCATCTTGCAAACAGGTCACCCTCTGTACAGGTTGCCTTGACCTTGAAGTCGTGAGCAGTAATTCCCTGGCAGCTGAACAAGTCTTAAGAATTTTCCTTAGTCAGTGTCACTTCAACGCACTTCAGCCCCATCCCACTGAGGACTGCTGTGGCAGCGGTGCCTCCTCATTAATTTCGTAGCCCGTAGACTCCTCACCCATGCAAGTTACTTTCTTAGACTTTATTAGACAAAGCCTCTCAAACTTGAACAGCGAAAACAAAGAACAACCAAGACCAAGACCATATTTTCTGTTTAAGTTGGCCCTTACAATGTGCATGCAAAGGCCATGCGAATGATGCGAATGCGGATCTGCGTAGCCATTGTTGACAGCTGAGTCCTTCGGAGCGATGCAGTGAAGGATCTTTTCGCAACCTTCCAGTTCCTGAGCTTCAAGAAGACACAAGAAAGGAGATCAACCACGAAAAACAAACAACCCAAAATGCAAAACGAGAAACAAACTAAGGATTTAAGTTGTCTTGATTGTCTTCACATCTTTGTCAGACTCCGAACAAGTAGCAAGAAGCTACTAGTAGCAAGGTGCCCTACTAGTAACGAACTACTTGTAGTAAGGCACCTTGCTACAAGTAGCAAGAAGCTACTAATGGTATTTACGGTCTTTACCTTGTCCAAGTTCTGGCGACACTTGAAGATAGGCGTCATACTCTGATTCGTCCAAGCAAGGCTTAGCCTTTGGCTTTCCGTGGAAACCAGCTGCACATTGCACCTGCAAAGTACAAGTGGCACAAAGTGACTTCAGCACTTGCACAAATTCCTTCATCTTTGAACACATAGTATGACTATATATACATATGTAATATATACATTTTTATACGTAGCGGTTCCAGGTCATCCGCGCAAAAATCCATGGCTTGACTCAATCAAGGCAAGGCTCTGAGACTTTAAAGCTGGTGCTCCACAGGTCATGTTCTGTGACCGAATAGCCTTGAACGGACTTGAGGACCGAAACCAACGGTATGGATGTCTTCGATGCGAGATGTTTCTTCGATGGTTTGACAGTGCCTTTGAAGGGTCTAGGTGTCTCTTTGAGGACCACTTGCAGTACAGTTGTGCTCACATTGCCAACTTCGCAGCATTTTATCTGTGGCGATGACAGAAAATGCTTTGAGTGCTTGAACATATTCCCGAAGGTACGGGGAGGGTGTGCCCCTGATTTCCAGGTTTGCCGGGCTTTGGATGAGGTTAGTGGAGGTGCAAAACACGAACAATACAGTGTTGAAACGTTTTTTTGCGGTGTGAGGATGTAGGTTTTTGATGCACTTTGTCGCCAAATGTCACATATTTGTTCACGTGCACACCAGTGAGAACGTTTGTGTTGGAGGGAGTGGTTTTTGGAGGTATTGGAGTGTGTCGGACTCGTTTTTAGAGTGCATGGGAACAGTTTTCAGGAGGTGTCAATCTTGCACACTGAGAAGGTCTTAAGCGCCATTTTTTGTAGTGTCAAGTGCCTGCAGAGCTTGCCTGCATGTGTCAAAGGTTTTGGAGGTGTTGGGGTGTATCGGAATGGTTTGGATGAGGGTAGTGGAGGTGCAACGCACAATTCAATAGTTTTGGAGGTGTTGGAAGGCATTTTTGATCGGAAAGCACGTATCAAAAATGTCGGTAATTGCGGTTATATATATATATATACCTGAGAAGGAGGGGACGAAAGCCAGCAGCCGCCAAACGAGTGTCTCTTGTTCTGGCGGGCATCGCGGCACAAGACACATGGTCGGCAGCTTGCGAGTCAGCGGTGCCGTGGATGCGGTGCGGGGGTATGTAATGGTGATGGAGGGAGCAGAGAAGCAAGCCAGGCGGCTTTGGGATGAGTTTGGTATGAAAGAAATAGTGAAAGAGAAATGCGCTACGTTGTATGTTGGTGTAGGTCACAAGGCAGTGCATGTGTTTGTCACACGCGGGAAGGTATCCATCTAATGGAAGTTGGAAGGCGACATCAGCGTTAGTGAAGGGGAAGCACCGTCTGAGTTCGAGCGGCGCGCGCAGGAAGACCTTCTCCATAGTCGGCGTCGCCGCGCGCGCGCGCGCCGCGGGCGAGCACGGCGTGCGTTTGAAAAGAAGCAGCTATGTTTTTGTTACATTTGGAGTGTTTGAAGTTTGCAATGCACGGCGCGTCGAAAAAAGCGGCGTTCGTTGATTTTGAAGAGTGAACGGGCACGTCTTAGCCGGGACACGGACGTTTGATTCCGCGGCGCAGAAGGGGAGGTCCAGCAGGAGTAGCTTGGGCTAGCAAAGGAGTGAGGATTTGTGTGCCTATGGATGCGCATGCCTAGACTTGAGTGAGTCATGTTCTGGCTCGATCCAAAACACAATCTTTTCCCTTGAAGGGGCCTTTATTAAACGATCCAAACAGCTTCTTTATTCTTCTCTTTCTTGTCAACTCGGCGCCTTTCTCACTCAGAGGCCTTGACTTTGGCACCTGCGTGTGTAGATCTTTGGGCCGTGGACCCAGGCTGACTGCCAGCAAAAAGGCGACGTCATGAGTCAGTGGCATATAGAATTTATCTATCTATCTATCTATGTATCTATCTGTCTGTCTGTCTATCTTTCTATCTATGTGCACCGGCAAGCCGGAAAAACGTTCGGCGCGCGTGGACGCCGCGAGAGGCATCCACTCGACCGAGGACATGGTGCAAGTATAGTTTTTGCTAGGGGGCAGGAACCCTATGCGGATATGCAATCAACCTCGCAGGCATCCCCCACGGAAACTCAATCCAAATTCATGGACTTGAACTCATGTCACTTTCGGTTCTCTATGGATTTCGCGAGTTACGGGTTGTCCTGGGAACTCGTATCCTAGATGCGGCCGCGGTACGTGGGCCCCTGTCTCCACTCGATTGCTTAATGCCCATTGTCCAAATAGCCTCCAAAGCCCTTCGTGACGCTAATGATGCGCTACTCGGCGTCCATTGCATCACTCGCATCACCATTTTCACTGCTTTTCTGACCCCCCGCCAAGCTCTGGGTTCACCCTCTCAAAAGGTCCCTCTCAACGACCACCCCCCCCGGAACCCGCTTAACTCACTTCGTTCGCTCTGAAAGCTCAAGCCTAGTCTATCGGCTGGCTTGCGTAATATAAATTGGAAGCTTTTGAAGCTAGAAAATTGGAGGCGCCAAAAACACCGTAAGTTACAAGGAACACACTGTTTTTGAAGTGTGGGGATGTTTGAGGTGTATTTGGTGCAATAAGTGAACACGTATCGCGCTGTTTCCGCGCTTTCCGTATTTCTTCCATTTTCTTCCAAGCTGGTTTGCAGTGATGCACGGTGCTCTGCAGGATCTGTTCCCTGGAGATCCTGGTGTCCTTTGTGGTGGTTGCACGATCCATAACGAACGCTCGGGAGTTGGCATGTCGGATCACGGTGAGGAGTGATATATACATGATGACAAGGTCATTAGACTAGATTAGGCTGAGCTTAAATGAGCTGACGTGACAGTTTCTTGTTATCTTTTGAAGCAGAAGCGAACTTACGATGAACACCAAACCACTTCACATGCGACAAGGCGATGATTGGGACCATTTCAGACGCAATGAGGTAGCGCGTTTAGTTTAGTTCAAATACATGACTTGACGCCAACAAAATGTCAGGGTGGGGCGAAGCAAGTTGAGATTATGTGACGAATCGAGATGAGCTGAGAGAAGTGAAAAAGAAGACGAGACAAGACATGGAACAAATGAGGCTGGACTCCCAAATAATAGGCTATGAGGAGTGAGCAGGGGAGGGGTCACAAAGTTGCATTGTCTTCTTTGAAAGGGCGCAGGAATGCGCAGGATATATATATATATAGTCCCCCATGAAAATCACATGGAGGGGGGTCAGCCCTGGTCCTTCTTTAGTGATTTCCTGGGGAATGATGAATGTCAGCTCCCTAGGATATGAGGAACGCAGCCTCATGAAGCAGTGTTTGGCGTAATCTAGTGAAATCACTAGAAAATGACATGAAATTCCAAACACACCCTTGGACCTGCGTTTGGCGCCGTCTTCTGTTTGGACATGCGTCTGCCATTTTCTAGCGGATGCTCTGGTGTCTGGACGTGCGTTTGTCATTTTTTGGCGGATCCTGCTTTGATCCTGCTTTCTCCTACATCATCTACGTGTTGTGAGGACTTCCAAAAGCAAACAAAGCATACAAAAGGTAGGTTGATTGAACAACAGCTGCAAAACTCCGTGATCTGCATAGTTGATCAAGATTCTGAAACTTTCTGAAATTATATTTTCATATTTTAAATAACAATGTGAATGTCACTCCATGACATGTCAGGTGGTTCAGGATCGAACTCTCGTGTGGCCGCGGCACCTTGGCTCCTTACCGTCCGTCACCCGAACCTCCTAAGATGGGAGGGTCGTGCACTCGCAAGCCATAGCTACGTTGGCGCGAAAAGGGCGCGTCAAACCGGATTTCGTTTGGAACAGCACTTCGTGAGGTTGTTTCTTGGATTGGTTGCAGTTGTTGCCACCTTCAAATTGGTAGCGGAGCCTCTACCAGGGGCTCCCTACCGTGCTGCCAGTTGACAGTTGGTTGTTGAGTTGAAGTTGGTTGGAAGTTTGCTTTGCTCTTGCGCCCCGTACGTTGCATACTGGCCTTTGCTTGTTGCACATTGTACATTGTACATTGAGCAAGTCGACGTTGAACATTGGACATTGCACCCTGGTCGCTGACCGCTGTACATTGAGCAAGCATTGTACATTGCGCCCTGGTCGTTGACCGTTGTTCATTGAGCAAGTTGACATTGAGCATTGGACATTGCACCTTGATCGTTGATCGTCGTACGTTGAGCATTGCTACACGTTGTGCAGATGGCCTCGACTTCGAGCACAGCTGGTGACACCACCAAGGATTCATGGGCGCCGACCTTTAGCAATCGGCCTCAGGACTACAGAGAGTGGAGGGCTCGCATCCACTTGTACTACAAGAAGATGCAACTGCAGAAGAAACCTGTTGAAGGAATCATCAACATCCTCACCACCATGACCGGCGCCGCATGGAAGCAGTTGGAACCCCAAGCTGACGCGTTGAGTGAGGACAAGGAAGGTTTCTCAAAGTTGATAGCAGTTTTGGACAGGACGTTCAAATACGATGACCGTGTTGAGCAACCAAGGGCCTTCGAGAAGTTTTTCTATAGCCTCTCAAGAAGGCCGGATCAGACATTGATGTCGTATTGCGCTGATCATCGTGAAGCACTGCGGGAGGTCCAGAAACACAACATCTCCCTGCCGGCGGAAGTGACTGGATGGCTCCTCCTTCGGAGGAGTGGGTTGTCTCAGGAGCAGAAGCAATTGGTACAATCGCAGTGTGGAGCAACATTGGAGGAAATAAAAGTTGAAGAAGCTATGTACTTTTTGTTTGGCCAAGATTTTCGTGGCCGCTCCACCTATGACCATCGTGGCAAGCCCTACAATGCACCTCGCTCAGCTGGAAAGAATGCCTACAAGTGGCAGAAGAAGGGCTCCCAATCGGCATACGCCGCCAATGATGATGACCCCGACCCTCAGGACTACGAAGAGTTCTATGAAGTTGATGAGGCTGACGCCTACTTTGGTGATTGGCCGGATGATCCTGAAGAGGTCAACTATGAGGAGGACGAGCTGGAAGAAGTTCTCCATCAGGAGGACGATATGCCTGATGTTGATGACCCCGAATGGGAAGAGGCATATGCATCATACCTTGATGCCCGCCGGAGGTTTGCAGAGCTCAAGACCAACCGTGGCTACTATCCAGTTGTGGCCTTAGCAGACCCCAGCCCATCCAGCTCAGCCCAATCCCAACGCCCCTATCCTCCAAAGGGGAAAGGATCCAAGGGCTCCAAAGGCAAAAGCACCTCCAGGTCACCACCCCAAAAAGGTGACGCCAAGTCAAGGGCCAGGCCGCCCTATCCTCCAGTTCGTTCAACAAGAACACCTGTCTCCGATGTGGACAGCCAGGTC